TCTGTAGCCCAGGCTGTCCTCGAACTTGCAGTGATCCTCCTGCCTCAGCCTCCAGAGTGCTGGGATTACTGGTGTGTGCCACCATGCCTAGCCAGATTCCCACACCTGACCAGATTGTGTTATAATCTGGGGCAGAAATGTACACTGGGTACTGTCATAAGAAAAGCTTTGTTTTCCAGGATAGAGTAAATACAGTTAATAATCATGTAAGAGTTTAGAGTCCAGGTGAAATAGCCCTTGAGATTAAGGATCATCATGTTGTCAAGGGTTTGATGGGGATCCATTTTCCTCATTCTTTTTCCCATCACCTGATTCCTCAGGGGCAGGCACTCCGGGAAATGCTAACTTTGCAAACATTTTAATGGGTCCAGTGGGGCCAATTTTTCTCACTTCCTCACCTGCCCTGTAAAATCTCAGCAGTGAGCACATCCTCCTTCCTAGTTGGGAGCCATGAAGCTTCCCTGGGGAAAAGATGCCCCTGGGGTATTCCCCCAGAGCACAAGATCATTAGTGAGTTTGAGGTGTATGTGGGCTGCCACCCTCCTCTCCCACATGAGAGGTTAGAGTCGGGGACAGGCTCTGATCTCGACTCCATCGGTGGACCCAATGAGTCTGGCTCTGTCTTTTGTTCTTCTAGGCTTACATTCTGAGGCTCAGAGTAACAGCTGTATAATCAAGTCCTGTGTTCCGTTGGAATTAAATTGTTTGCTTAAAAATATCTGTCGAGCTGGGCGTGGTGGCGCACACCTGCAATCCCAGCACATGGGAGGCTGAGGCAGGAGGACTCTCGCAAGTTTGAGACCAACCTGGGCTACAAAGTGAGCTCAAGGCTAGTCTGAACTGCGTAGCGAGATCCTGTCTCAAAAAGAAAAGAAAAAAGAAAACAGCTTTGAAGAGGAAATACTCTGGTTTTTACTTCACCAGGGAGTATGCAGGTGAACTGTTCACTACTGAAGGGAAGAAAGTGACCAGGACAACCGTCCTACCCACAGGCCAATTTCCCAAGACAGGAATTCTACCAAGGTAGGACAGGACATTTACATATGGCTCAAGAAGATGATCCGTCTGCTCCGGCAAATATCCCATGGTTCAGTCCTTCTCAGAGGACGGTTCAGCGACTACCTGCTTCAAAGTCACCATAGTTTGGGGTTCAGTTATGGACCTATTGGGTCAGCTGTCCTACAGCGGAAACCTAGACTATGTGCACAAAGCAAACTTCTCCTGTGAGCCTCGGGCAAGCACTTCACTAAAAACCATGAAGTGTGGAAAAATAGACTGTGAATATTTCAATTTTTAAAAAACTATACCTGGGCATACTGACCCACGCCTGTAATCCCGGCACTCTAGGAGGCACAGACAGGAGGTCCAGAAGTTTGAACCCAGTCAGGGCAACTTAGCAACTTAGTGAGAACCACCCCCCACAATACGTACAAATAAATAAAAAGGGCTGAGGATATAGACCTTGGGTTCTATCCTTAGTACCCCATTCTTAGAGTAAAAGATACACATTCCTATTAATTCCCTTCAAAATACTCCCCCTTGCTTTGAACACACTTATCCTTCTGTTCTTGCAACCTTCTGGAGCAGTTCTGGAAGTCTTCTCTCATGAGTGTCTTTATAAAGTAAGATTTAAAAATACAGTGAATGCTGCTGCCCAGTGCCATCCAGAGAAAAGCAGCCTCTTGAAAACGTTTTAGTGTGGCCTCATCTACCTAACTCACTGATCTTGCACAGTGTGACTTACGGCTCTTTCAAAGACATAATGACCCGGAAAGGCAGTGTTTTTGAATTGGTTCAGGACACGGAGGCAGTTGTGACACCACAGCTAAAGACATGAAATAAGACCTCCATAAGTGCTTCACAAAGCAGCAAGAGTGCTGGAATAAGTGTGTTCAAAGTGAGGGGGATACTCTGAGGGTGATTGTTGGTAATGTGTGTCTTACTGTAACACATTTTAAAATTTTTAAGCATTCACTATGTTTTTTTTTAAATCACAAGTTGTATTATTTGGGATCTTTAAAGAAACTGAAGGACACGGGCACGTCCCTGACTGCGTGGCTTCGTGTGTTCTCTCACTGAGCTGCGACACGGCCGAGCGAGCGGTCGGGCGGAAGGGGCCTCTCCGGTGCTCCTCCCGCCCCGCCCTCCCGCTGGCCCAGGCCGTTGCGCTCACGCCCACACTCCTCTCTCATCTAGCTCTCTAGGCGATGGCCACCTTTACTTTTTTTCCTATTTTTTTATTCATAGGTAGAAACTGCAGCCAGGAGAAATAGTGGTTATTACAGCATCCTGTGAAAAATTATCAAAGATACCAGTTTTTCTATAATTCCTTCCATAACTGTCTATATTCTGCAGAATTTTGAACTTAGTGCAGATTGGAGAAGAGAGATGAGAAAGAAAGGGGGAGGAGGAGAGAAAGAGTGGATTTAAAGGAAGAAACAACTGTGGAGGCCCTGACCAGCTATCCGCTGCGTTACCCACCACCCTTCTCTGCCTATCCCAGCCCCCACCTCCGTGGAGGCCTCCTGTCTCATCTATGCTACTGTGAACCGAAGACACACTTCTACTTTTGTATTTTTGTGCATTGTTCAATCAAAGAAATACTGGGGACTGGGCATTTAGCTCAGCAGCACAGCACCTGCCTGGTAAGTGTAAGAGTTCGATTCCTGGTACTGGGAAAAAAAAAAATCAAAGAAATACCAACAAATGCCTACCTAAATTGAGCCCCTTTATTGAGGAAAGAGGATATAAAGTCACATCCCAACAAGTTCCACTTTACTCTTAACTATGGTTCACTCTCCACTTACTAGAAGTTCTTATAAGTTATTTCTGCCCTGCGAGTTGTACCACCATTTCTTTGAAGTTCTGTAACATGCCTGGAAGCCCAGTTGGCTTCTGACCCTAATGTGGCCAATGACATTTGCAGAACTGCCCACATTCTGCACTCTCGGAATGTACTGTAAAGTAGCGGCTGTTGGATTAAGACCAAATTGCATATGTTTCTTTTATGTTTTCCATCGCTGCTCAAGTAATGCTTACCAACTTACCAAGGAGCCCACCAGCCAAGTAGAGAAGACCACACACCAAGCCACATTTCCTCAGTAAGACTAACTTCTAAGAGGTTGCCTTAGGGCAGAGTTAACCCAGTAAGCCCCTGGGTGTTCAAACTCACTTTCCGTGGTGTTCACACCCAAAAGCTCTGGATAATGATGAAAGGACAAACCTGAGCTGAGGGGTGGGGTTTGAACTCTTGGGTCTCACCAGAGACCCCCAGCTCCAGAGGCTGCTCTTTGCACTGTTCCTGGGCATGTACACCGTCACTGTGTTGGGGAACCTGCTCATGTTCCTCCTGATCCGTGAGAGCGCTGCCCTGCACACACCCACGTATTCCCTCCTGAAGAGCCTCTCTTTCTTGGATATCTGCTACTCCTCCACAGTGGTCCCCCAGACTCTGGTGAATTTCTTGCTGTAGTGGATTGATAGCTGGTGGTCAACTTATAACCCCCAGCTGAACTGAGTGAGTGGTGCTGGGTGTGGGAGGCCCGCCTGGGGGCTGTTGCCAGCAGCATAGGAGGCGGACCTGGAGAAGAAGAAGCAGGGCTGTTGGGAGCTGGGAGAAGCTGTTGGGAGCTGAGAGAGACCGTGGGGAGCTGGCTTCCTGATGAACTTGGCTGCTTTCATCCTCCGAGGAGCTCGGGACCTCGCTGGCACTGAGAATGGCTTCAGTTCACTTTGGGGAGCTCTGGTCCTCACTTTGAGCATAGCTTCCTGGTTCCGGAGGGGAAGATGGTGCATTGCCAGCCTCCTGGAAAAGCTTGCTGCGTTGGCTTCCCTGATGGGAACTCGGCCATCCTGGTCATCGGAGGAGCTCGGGACCTCACTGTTGCCAACGATGGCTGTGGTACCTTTTGGGGGAGCCCTGGTTCTTCTGAGCATCACTTCCTGGCTCCAGTGCAGATCCCTCAGCCTGCTAGCACAGATCCTTCTTCCTGCTGGCATAGACTTTGTAGATTCCACCACTGACCTTTGGGCCTTTCCAGCAGATCCGTGAAACAGGCCTGCATGGGACGTTGTCATGGGTTCTGGGCCTCCAGTTGGATTCATGGGAGGCATTATTATGAGCTCTGGGTATTTACCTCACCTCATGTAGGACATTGTTGTGGGATCCAGGCCCTCAGCTGGATTCCTTGGTCTTAGTGTGTGGACAGATTTCCTGCACTCTTTTGTATACTGTTCTTTGGGTGACTTATAAATAATCATATAAAGTATGTGTCCTGTATTATGTTGTTCCCCTTGCAAAATAAGCCGCCCCAAACCAACACACTTGGTCAAGAGAAAGGTGATCTCCTCTCTCGGCTATGTGGCCCAGATGTTCTTCTACGCAGGCTTCACCACCAGCGAGTGCTATCTCATCGCTGCCATGGCCTACGACCGCTACGCTGCCGTCTGTCACCTGCTGCTCTACTCCGCCATCATGTCTCCTGGGGTCTGCGGCTGTCTGACTGTGGGCTCCTATAGTGCAGGCTTTCTCAATTCTCTCATCCACACGAGCTGCATATTCAGTCTGAAATTCTGTGGTGCTCTTGTGATCACTCACTTTTTCAGGCCACCCGTCTTATCCCTGTCCTGCGTAGACACTTCACTCTGCGAGATCCTGCTCTTCGTTTTTGTTTGTTTGTTTGTTTGTTTTTCTGGTACCAGGAATCAAACTCATGATCTTGGGCTTGCCAGGCAGGCTCTGTGCCGCTGAGCTAAATCCCCAGTGCCCCTGCTCTTTGTTTTTGCAGGTTTTAACCTTTTGAGCTGTACCCTCACCATCCTGGTCTCCTACTTTAATCCTCATCACCATCCTCAGAATGAAATCAGCCCAGGTCAGGTTCAAGGCATTTTCCACCTGTGCTTCCCACCTCACTGCCGTCTGCCTCTTCTTCGGCACAACTTTTTTCATGTACCTGCGCCCCAGGTCCAGCTATGCCCTCACCCAGGACCGCACAGTTGCTGTGATCTACACAATGGTGATCCCAGTGCTGAACCCCTTAATCTACTCATTGAGAAACAGGGATGTGAAGGATGCCCTAAGAAAGGCTTTGGGCAGAAAAAGGGTGGAGTGACCTTTGCAGCCCAGTGCAGTGTCTTTATGTGGTACAACCCTGAGCAGATTCCCTGCTTCCCTGTGAATGTGGCCGTGTCTGCTGGTCTGCAGCAGAGTCTCCCTCATTGCACAGGAAGAATTGAGGTTGTCATAGAGACTAAGAAGCCAGAGGAACTGTTCGCTTGTTGCATAACTGGAGCCACTGGCAAGGCTTAGTTGCGCCTGATTTTTTTTGTTTGTTTGTACAGGGAATGGAATCCAGGACCTTGTGATTGCCAGGCAGGCACTGTGCTGCTGAGTCACATCCCTGGCCCCTAGGCCTCTGTTCTGATGTTTCATTTATATTTCAAAGCTTGTGGACACTTTATTGTATTATTATAAATGGGTATTTATATCCATTAGAAAATATCCTTCAACTAACTTGAAGACCTTCGTTCCTTGAAGAAATCCTTCCCGTTATTTACCATTGTCTCTCTGTAAAAACTGGCTCCCTGACCTAAAAACTTTTTTGTTGTTGTACTCAGGGATGAACCTAGGGCCTTGCATGTGCTAGGCATGCACTCTACCTCTGAGCTACATCCCCACTGCCCAAAAGTCTTTGAGAAAGTGTTTATTCGAATGCTGTGCTTCAGAAGTTCATGTGACTGTGTGCCTGCTCTGCTCTTGACAGACTGCCTCTTGGCTGCTTTCAAACTGGGTAAATTTGGTCAAGTTGCTGAATTTTTCTGAATCAGTGGCATCTCATCTTTTAATAGGCTCCAGATACTTATTTATATCGATAGTTATACTGCCTTAACTCATTCCTCATGTTTTTGTTTGTTTTCTTTTCTTTAATAATCTTTGGCTGGGCATGGTGGTGCACGCTTGTAATCCCAGCACTCAGGAGGCTGAGGCAGGAAGATTGCTGTGAGTTCCAGGCCAGCCTGGACTACAAAGTGAGCTCAAGGCCAGCCTGAACTGCATAGTGAAGTTTTTAACCTATTTAAACCTATATCTTTGTATATCTATCTTATTTATATTTCCAATATGTCTATACTTTTTTTTATTTTTAAAGATTAAGAATAAAGACACATTAACAAACAAACAGACATAAACAAAACAACACCCAAACAATAGAAGCAATACAGAGTTTCAGACAAGGTGACAGGAAATTAACAACAGTTATTGTATTACATATTGTTATCTTCATTTAAAAAAAAATAAAAGAATGAAAGCATATTAACAAACACACATACATTTACAAAATAACACAAGAACAATACAAGCAATACTAAAATTCAGACAAGGTGATAGGAAATTAACAAAGATTGTTGTATTATTTGTTATGGTTGATACATTGTGTCAACTTGGGGAGTCTACAGGTTTGGCTAAGTGACTCAGTGGGGAGCTAGGGTGCTTATTTTGTACACATCCTGAGCATGTGGAAGAGGTAGGCAGGCATGGAGATTATGTGAGTGCTACACTCCCCCTGGGTGGGGGCAGCCTGCTTACAATATAAGGGAGGAAAGGAGACTTGCTCTCTCTGCCCCTCCTCTCTTTTGCTCTTGTTGCTTTGCTCTTCACCACCTCTGCCATGTGCCACCCTGCCTTGGAGCCAGCCCAATATGGACTGAAACCTCTATGAACTGTAAGCTAAATAAACCTTTCTTTTCTTAATTTTGGATGTCAGGTATTTTGTCCTAGCAATGAGAGAAAAGTAACGAAGACAATATTGATTTCTTCAAAGTGGTTTCTCAGGAAAACGAATATAGACACATAAGACTGGTCAAATAATTAATCATTAACTGTTCCTTTCAGTAAAGCAAGAGAAGTCAGTAGTACAGCTATGTTAGCTATACTATTATGTATGCATTTATAGTACAATGATTAAACATAAAATGCAAATGTTCATAATCTAGGGACAATATTTTCAGTCCACATGGAGATGTTTTTGCTTTATGTTAGATAGGATACTTATTCACCTTTTTTTTTTTTTTTGGTACTGGGAATTGAACTCAGGACCTTGCACTTGCCAGGCATGTGCTTATACCACTGAGCCATGACCCCGGCCTGTATTCTTCTTTTTGATATTCAGTTTAAAAACATTTTTGTATGCTGAAATGAATCCTTTATTGATTAAATGTGTTGCAAATATTTTCACCTAATTTGGCTGTTAAAAATGTCATTGTGGGGCTGGGGATTTAGCTCAGCGGCACAGTGCCTGCCTGGCAAGTGCAAGGTCGTGAGTTCAATTTCTGGTACCAGGAAAAAAAAAAACAAAAAAAAATTTAAAAAAGAAGTCATTGTATTAGCCAAGAGCTTTCCAGTGAAACAAATAGATAGAATATATATCAATATATGAGGATGTTTCTCCTCAGTACTGCAAGAAAATTTATTTATTTATTTATTCATTCATTCATTCATTCATTCTAAGGAGCAACAGAGGTTAAGAGTAGGGAAAGTTACTGGAGAAAAGGAATGGGGAATCTGGCTGGGGAATGAGGAATAGGAATAGTTCCTGAGAGACAGGAGGGGTCTTCTGGGATGTGGAGCCATTCTGCTGGGCCAGTTTTTAAAGTGTTTCCTCCAGATGCTGCATTAACAATGGTTATTTTCTTTGAAGTCCTTCTTTTATTTTATAAGCTGGCATCATTTCTTATCCTTTTAGTACTCAGTGTTCTAGTCCTTCAATAAGTCCCGTATTAACAATATGAAAGCCATCATTTATGATTATCAAAATCACCTTCTTTCAGAATCATATAATCCTGGCCACTTTACCATTGATTAGTGAAAAAAAAAATTGGAACCTCACCATCAATGTTAAAAATTCTTTGGGCTGGGTATGGTGGCACACGCCTGTAAACCTAGCACTCTGAAGGCTGAGGCAGGAAGATCATTGCAAGTTCAAGGGCAGTCTGGGCTACATAGTGAGACCTTGTCTCAAAAAAAAAAAAAAAAATTCTGAGCTGGTACTATAGCTCACTGGGAGAGCCCTGGGCTTTGAGTTTAATCCCTAGCACCATACAAAACAAAACAAAACAAAACAAAAAAACCTTTATATCTATCTGTCTATCTATCTATCTATCATCTATCTATGTATCATCTATCTTTCTTCCTTTCTTTCTATCTATATATTATCAGTCATCTTTGATATTCTCTTCTTCCAGCTTGCTACAGACTCTGAAGGTACATTTTTTGGAGATCAAACATTTTTTCATATGACATCAAAATGTCATATGAAGTTAGGCTAGGCAGGTACTGCAGTGTCTTTCGTCTCTGTGCTTCTAGTGTTGACAACGGCATATTAGCACCGTTCCTGCTAACCTCCTTTTGAAAACCTTCCCCATCTATGCCTCTATTTAATGCTACTAGATTACTCTTCAGGAAAGAGGTTTGTTTGTTGTTTGTTTGTTTGAGACAGGGTCTTGTTATGTAGTTTGGGCTGACCTTGAACTCACTACATAGCCCAGGGTGCTTTGAATTTGCAACAATTCTCCTGCTCCAGTGCTGGGGTTATACGTGTGTTCCATTATGCCCAGTTTTAAAAAGGTTTTTTGACACCAAGTATGGGGATGGATGCCTGTTATCCTAGCAATTGTGAGTCTAAGGCAGGGGGATTACAAGTTTGAAGCTAGCCTGAGTTATTGCCTAGCTCAAAAAAAAAAAAAAGCATTTTTTACATATCTTTACATATCCTTAATCTTAGGATACTCTAGTCACATGGTTGAATTAATGAATCACATTTTTGGGAAAGTACATGGCATAAACATTACTTTTGATGAAAATTTCAGCAGGAGGGATGAGCAGAACACTTGTCAAGGAGTAACAAAATCACCTGGACATGGTAGTGCTCGCCTATAATCCCAGCACGCTGCAGGCTGAGGCAGGAGGATTGCTTCAAGTTTGAGGCCAGCCTGGGCTACAAAGTGAGTTCAAGGCTGGCCTGAACTACATAGTGAAACTCTGTCTCAAAATACCAAAAAAAGAAAAAAAGAAAGAAAGGAAAAAGGAGTAACAAAATCTTTCAATTCCCATTTGCTTCAGTGACCATTAGCCACTGGTACAAAATATTTGTGAAACCAATTAGAAAAGATGTCTCTGGTGATACATGCAGTTCATCCTTTATAATGAACCATTAAAAACATTTTCCTTTAAAACAATGATGTCACAAGCTTTGCCTATCACAGCAAGTTTACCTTTATCCATACCTGCCGCTTTAGCATATCCATCAATCATCTGTCCTCGGCATCCTTAATTTCTGCAGGGGCTGTCTCAGCTGCTATGGCCAATGTCTTTCTGGGACAATAACAGCAAAACAGTGATGTCTCATCAGTATTATAGGCTTGTTCTGATATCAGATTCCCATCAGCAATGAACTTGGCAAATTTTTAATAAATTTCTCCACTGCTTTGTGATCAGCAGATGCTTTATCACCACAAATTTTTAAAAATTTAATACCATGTCTTTTCTTTTTGGTGGTACTAGGGATCAAATCCCAGACCTCACAAAGGCTAACCAACTGTTCTACCTTTGAGCTATACCCCTGCGTGTCTTTTCCTAAATTTCTGCAAATTGCCTCTTGTTTATTCCCAGTTCTCTTCATTTTTTTCAATTCCTTGCTATGACTTTGTTATATGATTGGCCTACCAAACAACTTATGTTTACTGCACCACTGGTAGATCCACTCTTCCAATGCATAATTAAGATCTTCACACTTAGCTGGATGCAGTGGTGCTTGCCTAAATCTCAGCTACAGGCTGAGGCACAAGAATTGCAAGTTCAAAGCCAACCTGGGCAATTTAATAAATCCATAGCTCAAATTATAAATAAAAAGTTCTGGGGACATAGCTAAATGGTAAAATGGTAGTGTTAGATTGCCAGTACCACAATGACAATATGAAAATATCCATTTTTAGCTTTATGCATAATTTTCAATTTTTCATTAGCTTCTGTTCATCACGTTGAGCACAGAACATCAACAGTTTATCCTGAGGGCCTCACAAGAAGCAGCAGGACTCCACCCTTTGCAGCCTCAAAATT